CAGATTGGGACGACACACGCACAGTGTATGTCACAAAAAGACAGCTAGCCATTAGCTGTGCAATGAACTGGAAGACAATGACATGGATGCAAATTCAGAACACATAAAGAACTCCAACCAGGCAAAAGGAATTAGTAATTCAAAGAAAATTCACATGAATAATCAGTAAAGTTAATGGAACATCCCATAACCTCACTACTAGGAGTCAATGCAAATTAAATGGAAAAATGTAATTTTCACCCAAAAGACTGACCAAAAAGAAGAAGGGATTTGTTAGTGATATACTGTTATGGTATTCTTAGAGAGATGGGAATAACAGACCACCTGACCTGCCTCTTGAGAAACCTGTATGCAGGTCAGGAAGCAACAGTTAGAACTGGACATGGAACAACAGACTGGTTCCAAATCAGCAAGAGTACATCAAGGTGGTATATTGTCACCCTGCTTATTTAACTTATATGCAGAGTACAACATGAGAAACACTGGGCTGGATGAAGCACAAGCTGGAATCAAGATTGCCGGGAGAAATATCAATAACCTCAGACATGCAGATGACGCCACCCTTATGGCAGAAAGCAAAGAACTAAAGAGGCTCTTGATGAAAGTGAAAGAGGAGAGTGAAAAAGTTGGCTTAAAGCTCAACATTCATGGCATCTGGTCCCATCACTCCATGGCAAATAGATGGGGAAACAGTGACAGACTTTATTTTGGGGGGCTCCAAAATCACTGCAGATTGTGACTGCAGCCATGAAATTAAAAGACACGTGCTCCTTGGAAGGAAAGTTATGACCAACCTAGACAGCATATTAAAAAGCAGAGACATTACTTTGCCAACAATGGTCTGTCTATTCAAAGCTATGGTTTTTCCAGTAGTCATGCATGGAAGTGAGAGCTGGACCATAAAGAAAGCTGAGCGCTGAAGAACTGATGCTTTTGAACTGCTGTGTTGGAGAAGACTCTTGAGAGTCCCTTGGACTGCAAGGAGATCAAGCCAGTCCATCCTAAAGGAAATCAGTCCTGAATGTTCATTGGAAGGACTGATGCTGAAGCTGAAACTCCAATACTTTGGCCACCTGATGCAAAGAGCTGACTCATTGGAAAAGACCCTGATGCTGGGAAAGATTGAAGGCAGGAGGAGAAGAGGACGACAGAGCATGAGATGGTTGGATGGCATCACCGACCTGATGGACATGGGTTTGAGCAAGCTCCGGGAGTTGGTGATGGACAGGGAGGCCTGGAGTGCTGCAGTCCATGGGGTCGCAAAGAGTCAGACACGACTGAGCAACTGAACTGAACTGTTATGGTAGCAGAAACTGATACAGCTTTCTCAAGAATGATTTGGTAGTACGTTTATCTTATACTTTTAGTAAACTCAGTGATTCTACTTTTTAAAATCAACTATAATATGACCCAGCAATCCCACTTCTGGGCATACACACCGAGGAAACCAGATCTGAAAGAGACACGTGCACCCCAATGTTCATCGCAGCACTGTTTATAATAGCCAGGACATGGAAGCAACCTAGATGCCCATCAGCAGACAAATGGATGAGGAAACTGTGGTACATATACACCATGGACTATTACTCAGCCATTAAAAAGAATTCATTTGAATCAGTTCTAATGAGATGGATGAAACTGGAGCCCATTATACAGAGCGAAGTAAGCCAGAAAGATAAAGACCATTACAGTATACTAGCACATATATATGGAATTTAGAGAGATGGTAACAATAACCCTATATGCAAAACAGAAAAAGAGACACAGATGTACAGAACAGACTTTTGGACTCTGTGGGAGAAGGCGAGGGTGGGATGTTTCGAGAGAACAGCATCAAAACATGTATATTATCTAGGGTGAAACAGATCACCAGCCCAGGTTGGATGCATGAGACAAGTGCTCGGACCTGGTGCACTGGGAAGAGCCAAAGGGATCGGGTCGAGAGGGAGGTGGGAGGGGGGATCGGGATGGGGAACACATGTAAATCCATGGCTAATTCATGTCAATGTATGACAAAAACCACTACAATACTGTAAAGTAATTAGCCTCCAACTAATAAAAATAAATGAAAAAAAAAATAAAAACTACAGAAAGTCATACAAGTGTACAAAGATATACTATACATACATGTGAACACAAGTGTATAATAATTAAATTATATGGCTCAGTAAATATTACTATATGCTAGGCATGGTTCTAAGAACTTTATGTGTATCGACTCATTTAATTTTCACAATAAGTCTACCTATAGAATCAAGTCTGTTATTATCATCTCCCTCTTGCAGATAAGGAAACTAAGACACAGAGAAGTTAAGTAACTTGCCCAAAGTCACAAAGGTAATAAGCAGCGAAGCAAGAATTCAAATCCAGATGCTCTGACTTCAGCATCTGAACTCTTAACCATTATAAGTTTACTGCTTCCCAAACCAGGATATTCATTTATAATATAATAGCAAAATATTGGGACTAGCCAATTGTCTGTGATCAAATACTGATAAAATAAATTATGATCCATCCACTATGTGGAAAAAGAAATGATGCAGTGCTGGGGTAGGTACACGCCAAGTATTTGTAATACATTAAGTGAAAATAAGTCACAAAAAAGATACTGCATTCTTTCATTTGTATCTTAAAAATAACTTCTGTATATAGGTTGGTATGTATATATATTGTTCTTTCCTTTAGACCTTTGTTCAAAAAGTTACATATCAAATAGTTAATAATGGTATCTTCTGAGACAGGATTAGGGGGAGTAAGTGTATAGGGATTTTCATGATTTACTTTGTATCTTTGTATTGGGCTACTTATTTTATAGTTGGCATGTTCTTACTTTTAAACCAAAAACAACTTGAAGCAAATGAAAAGCAATGAAGTAGAGTAGTATCTACCTAATGGCTAAGAAAAGATAGTGATAAGCCTGATACCACTTGATTTGCATGAGTTAAGTTTCCTATACTCCTGGCCACAGATGGAAAAACCCTAAACCTGGCCAGTTCATTATAATACCATATGATCAGCATTCATCATGGTAACAGTATTCAGCATCATTAATGAAAGTCAAACTGGTTGGATTCAAGCTGCAGCTCCACTGTTTACTAACTGTATGACTTCAAGTAAGTCAACCTATTTTCTAAATTTCCTCATTGTAAAATAGGGATGAGTGTTTGCCCACGTTTCACATTTGTAAAGTCCTTAGAGTATCTTCTGCAAAAACTAGTAAATATTCATTTTGTTAGATGAAAAATAAATGATGTTGTCGTTCAGTCACTAAGACATGTCCAACTCTTGGCGACCCCATGGACTGCAGCACGCCAGGCTTCCCTGCCCTTCACTATCTCCTGGAGTTTGCTCAAATTCATGTCCACTGAGTTGGTGATGCTATCTAACCATCTCATCCTCTGCTGCCCTCTTCTCCTTTTGCCTTCAATCTTTCCCAGCATCAGGGTCTTTCCAATGACTTTTAAACAAATAAATAACTTAAGAAAAATCATATACGTTTGAAGGTATGTGTACATCTCCCTACCCAAAGACATTAATAACCTCTCCAAGTTAAACTAAGTGCATCATCTCATATACAGTAAAGGGTGGGTACTATCTCGTTTCCTAAGGCTATACAGACACATGTGTGAATACCCCACTGTAACATAAAACGTGCTTCTCATGGTCAAAGAGCATCAAAGCCAGTGCAGTGGAAGTGTGCTAGCGAGCGGCTCAGAGCTCGGTCCTGTGGCCACACCCCAAGAGCAAACCTCACCACATCAAGCCTCAGATCTTTCATCTTCCAGGCCTGCACAGTAAACACACTGTTTGCAAACCTTAACAGAAACATTCTATTTTAAGACAAATTCAAAACATTTTCTCCTCCTAACATGTCTTTTCTATTGTTCCTAGATTAAACTGTTTTTCACTGGGATGCAATCCCTTCCCTCACACTCTTTCCTTCCTTAGCAAAAGTTCATCTTGATTTTAAGGCACCTTAATCCAAATTCTCACCCTTTGTAGGTTTACTTATAAAGTTTTCTTCTGTCTCTGCATTCAACAGTACAATAGCAAGAACTGAGAAATTACAATGCCCTGCCAAAAGTCAGAATCACCTAGAATAAAAGCATGGTATGTTACTATTAGCCTATTAAAGTCAGGTATTTAGAATTAGGCTTATTTCAGTATTTATATCAACTTTATAGACATATTTTAAACCTACCAGCTCTCAAAATATTTCTCCCAGGATACTGAATCTCTCTTACACACGATTTCTCTCACATCACATCTTACATTTCCAAATAACCTGTTCAAAATGAAGTAGATTATAAAGTCCCAAGAACCTCTGGGAGGGGAGGGAGCAGAATTAACTCAGTCCTTTTCTCATTATCTCTTGAATCTTTTTCATTCTAGAAATATTAACTCACACATCTTGTATAAATTCAACAAAAGAAAGTCAATTAAGAAATTCTCCCCTTCAATGCCCTCATTCAGCGGGTGATGAAATCAGGATCTAGAGAAGTAACTTCCTCAGAGTCACATGCTTTGGACTGAAATGATGTCTGAGGGTGAGACTGCTAACATCTTTCCATCTAAGGAACAGTATTAGAAATCGTAACTAACCACATACATTAAAACTATTTAATCGCAAGCAAGTATTACAATCACCAGTCCTAAGAAAAACATACATGTCTTGTCAGTATGTCATCTATACCTTTTCAAAGTATTTTGAAATAATTACTTAAGATATTTACTGTTAAGTTCTCATTTTACAAAAAACGAGCTAATTCCCAAAGTACTATATCCTTGTTACCACATCAAAGCTAAGGATAAAATTCTTTCTTAGTGAATTAACTAGGACTTAACACATAAAATCACATTACCTTCACATTTTAGATATCTGAGTGCTTCTATTAATAGTTTCTCCTGCTATCTTTTAAAGGAAGTAATTTTGAGACAAATAGAAGAGACATAATAATACTTTTATTAAAATCCAATTTTCTCTTAAGTATCATTCATACCTGTTGTTCATCCTCCATGACGTTACTAGCAAATTCAAATACTAGGTCGTTCTGTTGGACAACAGCAGCCATAATAAAGCATTCCCCTTAGATCCACATGAGAAAAATTCCAAACAGGTTCAAGTACCAGGCAGCAGGGACCAGTGAAGAATTTGCGTAAATAAGCCAAGCTAGACCTGTGAAGTTACTGTATACCAAGGTTTTCTTTAAGGAAGGTACTTCAAGTTTTCTTGCTTCACTGAGATTTTACTTAAACTGAGGCAATTCTTCTGAAATTTTTCTTCTCTGGAACTTCTCGACCTGAAAAACATAAAGCTTAGGTTAGTTATGAGAAAGCAGCCCTATTATTTAGAATGCAACAGTCAACACAGATTGCAATGTCTCCAAAGTATTTTTTAATGTTTTTAAACAAAAGTAACATGACTGGTGAAATTTCTTTTAAACTAGATATGTATTTTCCTTTAAGATGTCATTCCTGCTAATAAAACATCACCTCTCATTACTGAAAATGAAGCCATCCTTCCTCCAACTCCCTATTAAACTACAAAGTACCATTAATTAAAAAAAAAAAAATTCCACCCAGCCATAACTAGGTTCTTGTAATTGCAATAAAGGACATATAAACAGCTTCTTTCTGCTAACTTAGCAAACCACACACATAGGAATTGGTACTCCATGAGGAATTTCATAATATATATTTTTTGCCTAAATAGAAACATTCAGACAATATCCTCGTTTGGTCTGACATAAACATTCAGAAAACATCCTTGTTAGGCTTTAAATTCGATCTAATACATTTAAAGTTTAACAAGTACTGTTTTAAGAGCTTTTAAAAATAAGCAGAAATTAAAGCCCACTCTTTCTATTCTTTAGAAAGTTTTATGGTGAGTAGAATGCTTTACCATGCTGGAGTCTGTCTTCAGTGGCTTCTTTTTTAATGCACTGAAACGTACCCTTATCTCTAGCACAGGCTTGCAAGCAACAGGAAGGAAACAGCACTTGACCACGTCATGGCAAATTAGAACATGCAAAGAACTGCACTTTACAATAGAAAAACAGAAGCGCAACTTAAGAGTGAAAACAATTTCACAGTGGAGGGAGAAAAGCTTTACAAAGTGCCTGCAAAGACTTCTGTCTATTTAACTCTTTTTTTTTTAAAGTTACTACTACTAACAAAAGTCAAAGGAAATTTTAATTTAAATGTTGATCACAATTTTGTTACGCACTGCATCATATGGTTATAGCCAGATATATGACATAAAGAGACAAAGAAATACAAATAATCACATTAGATAACATCTAGTTCTTTGACACAGCATCTACAATGTTAATTTTAAAGAGACAAGTTCAGGAATGAAGCTGATCTCATGAATCACTTTCCTGAAAAGGTAAATCCAGCCAGTGTGTGCTAGCTAAATCACACACTCATTTTCCTAATTTCAGTAGTCAGTTTGCTATATATTCCAGATTCTAGGGGTTATCATGGATGACTATGATTTCCCTAACAGGAAATTAAAAATTAAAAAAAAAAAACATATAACTGTTAAGAATTCAATTCAATTCAGGTGATATTTCTACTCATTAACTTCTTACCCAGCAGTTTCCCATACTCATCTGGTACACTTCTTTTAATAATGAGTTCAACTCTAACACTGGGAAAGTAGTTTTAGCACTACTATTCAGGCAGTTTGAATTTTTAACTGGAGGATAATCACTTTACAGTGCTGTGTAAACATGAATCAGACCTGTGTACACATGTACCCGCCCCCTCCTTGAGTCAGGTAGTTTTTGACCAATGCACCAAGTCTAGAGGTGGGAAAAGTACTTTGACAGACAGATATACAGAACATACATACAATATTTTCCTTTAAGGTCTCATCCAGTTCTTCTATACTAGGCTTGTCTTCCCAGGCTGTTCACACAAACCACATTCATTCTTGCCTCCCTTCTCAACTTATAGTATCCTCTACACCTGGAATTCCTCTCCCACGTCTCAGCAGCCATTTCTATGTTCTCCATCCTTCAAAATGCTCAACTCAAGGCCCATTTCTTTCACAACCTCCCAACCTCTGTGACTTGACCCACACGGGCCTTCAAAAATACAACATTTATTGCCCCCCCACAAAATTAGCACTAACTGTATACTGTCTCACACTTGAAAATTATGTCCCCCTAATTCAACTGAATACATGTTTCAGTGTCTATTACTTGCAAAGCAATTGCCAGGCACCATAATAATTAGAGCAAAACTTGTCTGGGTAAGTAACCACTGTCTTTAACATTTCTTCTGTAATTACCAAATCTATGTGCCCATAATAAAAGACAGACATTGATGACAGGTAATTGTTTTCTGTCATCAATCTATCATATTTTTACAATCTATCATAGATGTTTAAACTCTATGTATATTCTTTATAAACAATGACTATAATACTTTTGATAATAAGGAAACCAATATTCTAAATTTGATGAACCACAGTAAGAATAACCAGATAACCAGAATCAAGGGATGTTTCCTGATTTAAAAAAAAGTTGTTTTTTTTTCTGTAAAAGGTTGGATTCTGAAAGACTAGTCCAAAATCCATTTTTTCTTAAATACAAAAGTAACACTGTTTCAATGACCAACGTGAACACATCTAAGTGAAGTTTCACTTTCTTTTCCACTGCAGTCACAAACTCTTTCTTACCAGCACTTCCACAGTGCTATTATTCTTTAAAAATTTTTTTTAATTTCAAAAATAGGGACAAGCAATCAACATATTTACAGATTACAGTACATACTAGCAACCAACAGTAATCAACCAAAACTGAAATGATCGCCCATGATCACTGACTTTGTTAGGGTAGAAAGAGACACCATTATTCTGGTGAGTAGTTTTTGTTCATTTCTCACTTTCGTTCACATCCTGAGAATGCGTAAGTAAAGGAAAGCTCCTGCATTCTTTTATTGGCTTTACTAGGCCTCTGACCCTCCGTCCTCTTTCACGCTATCCCGCTGCTCTTTCTTTTCTCTGAGTATGCTTACAGCTGATGGCACCAAGGCTGTTCTTGGGAAGAGTTTCTGTAATTCCTGATCCGGAGGCACCACCCATACATACTGCTGTGCTGTGCTCAGTCATGTCCAACTCTCTGCATCCCTATGGAGTGTGGACCACCAGGCTCCTCTGTTCGTGGGATTCTTCAGGCAAGTACCCTGGAGTGGGGTGCCATTTCCTACTACATGGGATCTTCCCAACCCAGGGATTGAATCCACACCTCTTGTGTCTTCTGCACTGGCAGGCAGATTCTTTACTGCTAGCGCCACCTTGTAAGTCTACCCACCCATATTAGACGGACTTAAACAACAGCCTCATTGAGTTAACATTTTTTCAGGAAGAGATGAGACGAGACACCTATATCAATGATTCAGTTTTTCACGAGTGAACTGAGTCTCTGTGCCCAACGTGTCACAATCTGAAAGCATAACAGAATTACAGCTAGAACCTTCATCTCCTAAATCAGGACTCTGCCCATGACTAAAGTGCACAGTGTCTAAATCTAATCAAATCCTTCACGCTGTAATAGCTTAGAACAGTTTCTTTCTTTTTTAATGTTTTTTTTCTTCTTAGTCATTTATTGAGGCTGTGCTGTGCAGCTTGTGGGATCTTAGCTTCCCGATCAGGGATGGAACCCATGTCCTATGCAGTGGAAACTCTCAGTCCTAACCACTGAACCACCAGGGAATTCCCTAGGACACAGGTTTCTAAGTAAACACATGCATCAAATTAGAAAAAACAGATCTCCATCTCTTGTTTAACTCTTGAGGTCTAAATCTACTCACTAGATTATCTACTAAATAAGTCCATGTCAGAGTCAAAGTGTCTAAAACATTCAAAACTAAGCTTATCATTTTTATTCCTCAAATTTGCTCTAGTATGGAAAAAACATGGGTTCTTAGGATAAAGTAGGGGCCTTCTATCTACTTCAACAAAATTATAAGGTCTTCAGTAAATTTTAAACATGGTTGACTTTACTAACCATTAGTTACATGCATTACATTCAGGAACACTCTGCAGTATTAATAGTTACCAAGCATATTCCGTAACTTTCAAAGCATCAGTTAGTCTTTACAAAATAATAAGTAAAAAGTGAAAACAATTCATTCAACACAAAGACATAAAAGAGTTAACTTATCTGCACAGTTTTGAGAGGTCATCTAGTTAGGAATCCACCAAATAATGAAAATTCCCCGAGCTGGCTCTCATCTCTTTCAAGTTGGGAAGGACCATATTCCTACTCTTCAAGGAGTCACGCCAGAGAAATACCTCATCAGTGAGGTTCCTCAGCTCTTATCGTCAAACTAAGCTTCATATTTAAGGTGAAACAGTAGCTCAAGCGGAACAGAAGAACACAGGCTCTGGCACCAGACCACCTGGGTTTGAAAATCCTGCACTGTGACTATGGACAAGCTACTTAGTGTCAGTCCCTTCTTCCTGCAAAACAGCTATATAGCCACAGTTTCCTCATTCTGTAAAATGATCATAACACCAGCAAAATCTAGATTTTCTATGAAGATGAGACATAAATGTATGTGCAGAAATGCCTGGCATATAAATTTTACTCAATAAAGATTAGCTTCATTATAATCTAAATATGGTGCAAGAGATAATGTAACAGGTGCTTAAGTCTCATATCCACACCCCCTGGGAGTCTCCATTAACACACTTATTTGCGAGACTGCAAAACAATACTGTAGCCCCATATCAACAAAAGTATACTTCTATTCCAGTGTCTAAAAAATTTGGCACCTATTTGATAAATCCAGTTGCTTCAAGGTTGGGACTACACCCTGTCTGGCAAGATTCCCTTAAGACAGAGTTCCATTATGCTCTTAATCCAAACAAAACAAATTTACTGATTGTAAACACAAAACCCGCGGCCACATTACTGGCTACTATAACTAACTCAAGTGGTTAATTTTTGTATAACTTATTATAAAAGATTTCATGTATAATAAACATGATAGTCAAAATCAGTTTTTAATACTTTTTCACATTTGCTTTCTTAATCCCTAATTGAATGCAAATTTAAGCTTCCTTCGGAAGAGCTTTAAACACAAAAGTCTATAAACCCATCAATTCATCAATAAAAAAAAAAAAATCACTGCTACTCTGGAAGTTACTAGGGCCACCAACTCACTACTTAACATGAAAACAGATAAAGGGAACTAATTAAACAAAAAAGCAAAAAGTTTTTAGATTAGACAGCTCTGGCCCAAATAAGGTAAAATACACCAGCTTAGAGCAATGGGTGGTTGAATG